TCATGCACAAGCAGCAAATACCCACTAGTCTCTTAAATAAAGCTATCATTTTCCAATACTTTTTTCTTTGCTCCTAAATAGGATGCTTAGCAACACCTGAAATGTGAAGGTTTTTATAGGGCTGTTTGGTTCCGTTTACATTAGCTTTTTAGTGATTACTATTGCTTATTTTCTTCTGTGAAACTTCTTCTTTTTTTTTAAACATTTGTCTTTGTTTCCGATTACAGCTATCCTATTGTCCATATCTCTTTCTCACAAAGCATATCTTTATTTTAAAAACTATAGGTGTGTGCCAGCTGTTCCACCAGCCTTTCCCTGGACAGACATAAATTTTTATTTTTCAAAGTAATTAAAAAAAAAAGTTCATCTTAATTGGGCTGATGCCCATGCGGATGCTTCAGCTTCACTGCCTCTTAGACTCCTTTGAAAACGGAAATCAGATAGAGCCTCACTTAATTCACCTATCTCAGGAGAAAAACAACGAGCCCGCTCAGCTCAAGTCAAGCGGTGGAAACTCAATGTTCTGAGAATGGTTACATCTTACATGAAAATACAATACATAATGTTATGAAGATGGCCACAAATCACCAAAACATAATCATAACCCTTGCCTTTTTTCCCAGCTATACCCCAAAGCATGAGGTTTCAGGCATTTCCTGGTCAGATACCGTTGAACTAAGAGGCTGTGCATCTGGTGATGAGTATATTTTAAAATGACATACTCTCTAGAGCTCAATCCACAGAAGGTTCCATTACTCTGTCCCCACCCTCCCTCAGGACATACTATGAAAATGTGAGGGGCTCAAGTTCCTGCTGCTGTGGCTTCTGGGTTGGGACCCCCCGGAGCTGCCAGTAGACTAGATTTTTCTCCATGCAGAAGGGAAAATCTCAATGAGAGTGGTTACCCAGGCCACAGATGTGTTCTGACTGGTTAACAAGAGGGATTGTAGTGTGGACTTGGCCGCTTAGATTAAAATGCATTGCAGGCTCCAGGAACAAGCACACATCAGTAGTAAAGGCTGTTGAAACCTTTGGGGACTGCCCTATGTTTAGATTACATTAATTCATAAATATTATACTAAATACCACTTAAATTGGACTTAAATGACTTCAAAGATAACACATTATAATATGGCTATCCAGAGAGCACTAGTCTTTATGTCTCCCAGTAACTCAATCTTTGCTGCCTTTTATTCTGCTAGACAAGACCAAAGTTATGAATGGATTGCGGGCTTCTTCATGTGTGATCCGCTGTGTGTGTGTGTGTGTGTGTGTGTGTGTGTGAGCAGTCATGGATATTTGTGTGCGTGTATCTATTTTCAGTCACTAGATATGTTTGTTTGCCAGGAAATAAAAAGAAGAGAAATGAATAAAAAGAGAAGGGAAGAATTAGACTAGTGGGTGACCTGTTCCCTTCTTCAAGGAAGAAATATTCTATAGGAAGGGGCAAAGTTTGTCCTGAGCTCACTTCTGCTGCTACCCCGGGAGTTTGTCTCTCTCCTCTTAAATCAATAGTATAATATGCTTTCTCTTTGGAACCTGGAAAAACAAATCTTTCTCAAAGTGCTTCTAATGGGGAAAAAGAAGACTCAGAGTTAGCTGTGAGAGTTTGCATTAAACTGGGCTTTCTTCTTTGGATGTTGTTTCTTCAAATTGTAATCCTGGGCCTCACCCCACTCCCTTTCTCTCTCAGCCTAGCACCCAGATCTCCCCTTGCCCAACTGCTTTCTGGTCTCCAGGGGGTAAATTTATCTTTACAGTAATTACCCCAGTCCACAACTCGCTATTTGCTTCCTCCCCAGCCCAACAGTCTTTCTCTGATATGACTGGGTTTGCTCCACAACACCACCCACTCCCTCCTCCACAGACTCCCAATTTGACTTGGAGTAATTGCCTTTTAAGGTTCACTCTACGCATGGCAGGTATTCCATTAACCCTTAGAACTCCTCCTTTCTTTAGTTACCTGAAATGGCAGGTGGCCAACAAATGGATATCCACCTGAAATCGCATGCATTTAATTTTTTACTTTTTTTTCTTTCTTTTTTTTTTGTTTAACCAGTAACATACATATACCGTCCACACTGAAAGCCACTATTCTGTGATGTCTCTCAATTTTATCCCAGTATGATTCATTAGAAGTTAGAAATTCAAGAAAGGGAGAGAAAGAGCCACAAATATGCCCTGAAACCAGGCTTAACAAAGGCATGTTTCCATTCCTAGCCTCGTGTTGTCAATTTAGAGTTGGGGAAAATCTAGAAACCAAATGCAACCCTCATTCTTCAAGCCTCATCATGCTTTTTGACTTAACAGTAATTAATCACCAATGGCAAGTGAGTAATTTTTTAAGGTGGCCGGAGGCTTATTTTTTCAGGATTAGCTAATAAATCAGGCTGTATCACTGAAGAAGGAGTTCAAACTCTTCTAGGACTGAATAAAACAGACCTCGGAAACTGTCTCATTTATTTAGCTCTCCAGGCACTGTTAGGGATATTGTGGCTCAACCTTGCCTATAAAAATCTGAGGGAAGGAGAGGCAGGAAGTTTCACAGGAAAAAATATATGCTCAGGCTCTGAGGGGTGAGCTGCGACAACGAGGCACCCAGCATGCCGGGCCAACGGGCCTGCCTGCCACAGACTGAGTCAGTTTAGGGGAAGAATTGTTTAGAAAATGAAGTTTTGCTTGTCCTGAGAATCCTGACCAGATATGTGTGTGTGTGTGTGTATATATATATATATATATATATATATATATATATATATAATATGATGCATATGATATAACTGTATCATAACCTTCTCTACCTTCCTGATGCAAATGATGATATTTCTACTTCTTTGCTACAATACAAGGGACTCCAAATAAAATCAGAAACAGTGATGATACCAGAAAGAAGGGATTGTGAGAAGAAAGCAAGGAATATTGTTGAAGTTTATATTCATTTGAAATAAAGCATCAAATAAAGTGCTCCATCCCAGATCTCATAGAAAGCTCAGTTCACAACTGTCTTTTGCCTCTAGTGGGTTCTGATTTTTTCTAACTTTAAAATCGTGAATTGTCACAAGAACTGATCATTAAGATGGGTAAAGGATTTCCCTATCTATGGTTTTTAATTTTTATTATTACTATTTTTAAATCTGGGGACATATTAGAATGACAAAGCTTTGATACAAACATTGATTAGCTTCTAGGGGCTTGATTGGAAAGGGGAAAAACTACAAAGATATGGTTGACTTGGAGGGGGGAGGAAACAATATGATTTCAAACACTGCCTCCCTATTCCACCTTTCCAGTTTCTCTTCTGAACATCTTCTCCATATTGGATAAAGGTTGGTTTCTTTCTCCATTACAGCCCCTACCCTCACCCCACCCCAACAAACCCAGTATATTTCCATTCTGCTCTGTTTTTGTGCGACTCAACATGCCATTAACTTTAAGATTTACTCCTCAGCAGGCAAGCTGGAAGATGCTAAAGCCAATAAAAACTGCTCTCTGGGACTCCAACTATGAAGAGTTTGGAGCTGTGCTTAGTATTCGGATGAAGGGAGGGCTAGAGAAGGAGGGTGGTTGTGATAGTGAAAACCACTGCTGCTTAGAGAGCCAGACAGCTCTGCGCTCTGCACCTAATGTGCTGGAGGATCAGCTCTGTTCATAGACCATTTGTGGCCAAGGATGAGGCTGCTCTCTCTATGTGGGTGGGTGTGCGTGTGCATGTGCGTGTGTGTGTTTTCATCATTAAAACCACCAGCTCTAACACAGCATCTTCAGTGGCTCTCCACACTACTGTTTATTAAAAACAGAACATCCATACATATCCCTTACAACTTCCTTAGACCGGTGCTCCTTCCCTGCCTAACGATCAATCTCTCTCAGAAAGCATTTAACTTGCCCACACAGCTCCAGCCCCGATTAATCCCCGCTGCACATCCTATACATTACTGTTAGGGAGCGGAGCACTGGGCTAATTTCATCACCCACCAGCCACCCACACACATTCTACAACTGAACACATTTGGAGCTCTGCCTTAAAGATAATAAAACAAGGAGAAAACAGGCAAGCTGCAGACAATTCCCATGACCACTTTCCTAAAAAGTTGCTGGGTTTTAATTCTTTGATTATTTGTCTCCCCTCCCCCAAGCACTCACTAGCAATGATTTCTTCACGGGAGAGAAATAATGTACTATAAACCTCTCTGCATGGTGAGTTTGGGATAATTTAGGCGACACCCTTTAAAATGCATATCTTGCATATACAGATTTTTCCCCCCAAAGCCTCACTTTCCTGACAAGGGGGATCATCAAGGTTCCTAGACTCCCCACTCCACCCAGGGGGTGGCTGGTTCCTTGCTAATTCTTGCCTTAGGTTTTGTCCCTCCTTCCTTCAAATATCCACCCCCCTCCCCCACCACTCACACCACAACCGGATTATTGAGGTACACAGCTCGACAGGGAGAGTTTGCTGCTAAATTGATAATGAAATGAAAATATCTCTGAATTTGTCGCCTCTCTCCTTTTTAGACGGCTGCACTCCTGCTACTCTGGCCGGGAACAGAGGAGGAGACCACCGAATCTCCTCTTAGTATTTTCAGCACCACGGCGATGGACAGCACCCTAGGTCCCTGGCCCGCTGCGCGCCTGCCAGTCTGCTGCTCAGCGTCCCGGGCTCGGCCGGTGCAGCTGTCCCCATCCCAATCATTCAAGTCGCTGTACCCAAAACTGCAAGCCCCGTTTCTCCTCGATCCTCTCTCTTTCTCTTCACCTTCTGCTCCCGCTGCTCTCCCCACGGCACCGCTTCTGTCAGCTCCTTTCCCCAAAACCAGCCTTGCCCCAGGAAACGGCTCCCCACGCACCCCAGTCCTGGTCTCTGCTGCCCGAGCGCCTCCTTCCTCGGCGTCCGCCCGAGGCTCCCTCTCGCGCCGTCTCCTTTTCGTCCGTTGCCGACCGGCCAGCCCGCCCGCCCTCTCCTTCTCCCCGGCAAAGTTGGGAGGGTAAGGTGCACTCACCTTTGTGCATGCCTGTGAACCTGTCCTTCAGAACCGTAAGCTCGTAGATCTTGCCGAACTCTTCGAAGAGGGGCTTGAGGTCCTTCTCATCCAGGTTGCGGGGGATCTGCCCAATGAACAGCTTGATGGCATCGTGGTCCTTCATGGGAATGGTCGACGGGTTCCCCGGGCTGTGGCTTAATCCGTTCATGTGCCCGGCGCTGCCCGGGCTGCTGCCGAGCCCGTTGGTACTGAGGCTCGCGTTGTCAGCCTGTCCGTTTGCTAACGTGGCCATCTTTATATACATAGAGAAAATCTTCTTTCCTTTTATTCTTTCTCGCTCGCACTCTCCGCTCCTCTCCCTCGCAAGCTCGCTCGCGCTCACACACGCACACGCATACACACACTCGGGTTCTCTCCCCCTCGGTTTCTCTATACCTCGCTCTCTGCTCTCTCTCTCTTTCTCCTCTCTTCTCTCGCTCGCTCGCGCTCGCGCTCTCTCTCCCCTCTCCCCCCCTTCTCTCCCTCCCTCTCCTCTCTTCTCCCTCTCTCTTTCGGCGGTCTGATCTGATTTTTTTTTTTTTTTTTTTTTTTTTTTACATTGAACAGACAGGATCTCTGTCCTTTCCGTTTAAACAGGCTGGACCGGTTCAAGTTCCCAGTCAGACCAGGGGTGGGGGCGGCGAGTGTGCGCTCGAGAAGGAGGGGGACGCGGGGCGCGGAGAGGGCGCTATGGGCGGGGGGACTCCCGCGCGGCGGCGGGCGGCGGCCCGGAGCAGGGCGGCTCGGGGCGGTGCCGCCCCGTGCACCTCCCCCGTCGGCGGCCCTGGCGAGCAGCGGTGGTACAGTCCGAGACGGCCCCCGGCTATAAATAGCGCCAGGCGCATGGCTCTTCGGGAGGCGCTGAGATTCCGGCGCGGCGGCCGCGGGGAGCGGGTTCCCGTTAGAAACAGGGCTGTTGGCCTTCTCTTTGCCTTTTTGGGGTTCTTTTTGTAATAGCAGCAGGTGCAACTTTTTTTTTTTTTTTTTTGTATTTTAAAAACATAGGTTTTCATTTTCGTGTGCGTATGTAGGGGGGCGTTATTCACCGAGCTGTGCTCTATTAGGGCGTCAGGCGGGCAAAGCAAAGGCGGGGATGGCGGGCGGGGCGGCGGCGAAGGTGGAACGGGCGCTTTTCTCTCCCATCTGGTTCCCTTTATTTATTTATTTATTTAGATTAGAAAAAGCGAGCCGGCTTGGAGGGAGTCCGCCCAGCGATCCGAGGGCGCATTGATCAGTGTCGAGAGAAAAAAAGCTACATAAATATATATTATGTGGATAAATCTATAGACAAGAGCTCTCTTTCGCGCGCGCGCGCTCTGTCTCTCCGTCTCCGCTTTTTTCCTCCTCGCATTCCCAACCTGCCAGAGCAGCCCCAAATCTTCGCCCTCCCGCACGGCCGCTACCGCACCCGACCCACCTGGGAGGACGGGACTAGGGAGCAGTTGGGCCGCTCTGAGGGGACGGGGAGTAGAGATTTGGGGCTCGACCCTCGTTCCAGTCCGCCCGCGAAGGCTGGAGGTGGGTGTTTCCGTCCCGGACCGCTTTCCCCTCCCAGAAGAGCGGCGGCTGGTCCGGCAGGCGGCTGGCGGGAAGAAGGTAGGAGCCGGGCGCCTCGGCCCGCTAGCCCGCCCGCCGGTGAAGGTAGCAGGCTCTGGGAGCGGTGGCCAATGAGGCAGCGCGAGGGACCGGCTTGATTTTGCCCTCGTCTGCTTTACTGGTTCAAACTGAAACAAAATTTTTCTCCTTAATCGACCATCAAAGAAATAAAGCTCCCGAATCGCTCTTAGGGTTGCGGCTGGACCGACTCGCGCGCCGTGCGCTGCCCCCACAGGCATCGTTTGTGGCGCCTGCCGTTCCAGAGTGTGAGGCTGGGAGTCGCGTCTTCGGGCGAGAGCCGGGGATCCGGCCCCCCAGCCTGGACTCCGCCGGGTTCCCCGCCAGGCTCGCCGGGGTCATAGGCTGGCGGGAGAGGGAGTGGCTGGCGCGGGAGCTGGTGCAAGCAGCCCCGCCTCTGGGGGTGAATGCTAATGGTAAACTTGGGTTGGGAGAGCAGATTTTCATTTTAATTATATTAACCTGCACCCCATCCCCTCTCATAGTTGTTTTTCCAGGGCGGCCTCTTGGCTTCAGAAGCCGGGCAAATTAAAATAACGCGTCGCTTCCCCGCGGGGTTTGGGGCAGAGCTGCTGGCCTGACCCTGGCTTGGCCCCCACCAGCCCTTTCGGGTTTCTGGGTTTCTTTTTTCTTGACCCCGGGTTACATGACGTTACTAGACGATATGCTTAAAATTTTATTTTAAGAAATGAGACCCCCAACTGCCGGAAAACCGAGACCAAGACCCTTTGGTACAACCACAACGCAGAGCTCTCCAGCGCCAGGAGGAGGCCTGAGGAGGCCCTGAGGTTTGCAGCCCCAGGCCCAGAGCCCACCTGGGACACCTCTCCCGGAGGATCCTGGGCCCAAACGGCACAGCAAGTACAATTCTGTAATTGTGAAAGTGCATCTTTTCATTTAAAGATTTTCCTGCCTTTGCTTGATGTAATCGTGTGTAAGTATAGTTGATTCATAACTCGGTTCCCAGGCTTACATTATCCAGTGTTATATAATGGCCTAAGAATCATCCAAGTTGATGGAATCAAACAGAAACTCACACAGAGAGCTTCTCTGCCATGTGGCTGTGTGCTTGGTGTGCCTGTGAAGTGCTGTAATGACAAGAAACATGTCCCTCGTAGGCACACAGATGGTCTGAGTGTGTGGCTTGAAGGTATGTGCTTATGTGTTGTCAGGGCTGTGGGTGCTTGTGTGGATGTAGTGTGGATGTGTACAAAGATTCTGTTTGTATCCATGCTCTGCTTGTGTGTGTGTGTACCCACCAGGCTGAGACCTTCTCCCTTTTCTTTCAGGACACATCAGCAGAGGCCAATAACTTTGTCCAAAATATCTCCTCCAACATCATCCTGTGGCCCTGGTGTTTACCACCCAGGATCTCACAACAGGAGTGAATATATTTTCTGCCATAACAGGAGGTTAGGAGAATGATTCCTACTTGAGGTCTCTCTTTCTTTCGCTGCCCCCTACCTCCCTAAAGTGAAACAGAACATGGGGAAGTGAAGGGAGCAAGCTGAGAAGGGCTGAGAAAGCAGGGAGGATGGCTGAGGTTCACCCTCCACTCTTTCTGCCACTATCTCAGGCCCTCCTTTAAGTAAATTATTCACAGGTGTTTCATTATTCATATTATTATTAATAATAATAGCCAATACATAAATAAAAGCAGTCCCTGGAAAGGAGTGGGTGAGAGAGTGGTGTTAATGAAAAGGGGCATTTGCTTATTTCAGATGCCCATGCAAACTCCATATGACATAGGGCCAGCTCCCTCCAGGACTGTGTCTCTGCCCCCTGCACCATGGCCCCGCTGTGTCTCCCCACATGTGGACACAGAGCTGTGGAGATCTCCTTCTGTAGGTGAATCTTCCTCACCCTTCCATCTCTCCCACCTGAGGATGGCTTATTTTGGATTTGGGCTGTCTCCCCTTAGGGATAGCACATTCCTTACCTCTCAGCTCACTGACAGGTATTTGGTGAAATGCCCTAACTCCCCTCAGATTGCTGGGGCAAAAGCAACCAGGACACCAGGCCCTATATAACTGAGCTACCCCGTGTAAACAGCAGCACAAGCAGCTTCTGCCAAGGCATTGCACTCTTAAAGGTACAGAGCTGGAACTTTTAGGCTCCCACCTCTCTGCCACAGCAGAGTATTGGGGATAAAATAATAACACACAGGTGTCTCAAACTAATGCAATAATGAAGCAGGACCCCTGAGAAAATGGTAAGGAACACAGGTTAGGTTTATTCTTTAGTATCCTTGCCCTAGATATCCTAGAAAGATTTGAGCTAATTTTTTTTTTTTTTTAATTTAGATCACCTAAGAGAAATGTAACTAGGGAAAGATGGGACAAAGTACTACTGTGACATTTAAGCATTAAAAGTTATCCAAGTGCCACTTCATGGCCACAGTTATTCCATTCACTGAGAGGGAGAAGGTTGGCAAATGGAAGTAGGAGCTGGAAACAATTGCTTCTGATTTTCTCTCTGTGCTTGGGGTTTACATGTTGTTGCTGACATATTTTTGGGGGTGTCAGGAAGTCCCTTGTGGTGTGGATCCTGGCTCAGGTGGTGTAGTTATGCAGGCCTCCCCATTGCCTCCTGCTCCTCACTTCCCTTTGCTTCTGCTCGTCAATGACGGAGGACGCCCTCTTTGTGCTCAGCTTCCCTCTAGCTGGGCCACCATCACTTTCCTCCTTCCGGCACCCACTGAAACACATTCCACAGGCCCGCACAACCTCACACCGCTCTGGCTCGTCTACCTGTGAATCTTCTTTCTCCATCTAGATTGTGAACTAGCAGAGGGCAGAAACCCAGTAATCAGGCCCCCACCCCTCCTCTGCAGCCCCTCTTGACAGGCATGGGCACACAGTAGGTCCTCGGGATGGAGTTTCTAGACACCGAAGGCTAATCTGACTTTGGGCAATGCTGTATTCATTCACCTGGAACCTAACGAAGGGGAGCTGCAGGGCCCCAGGCAGACACCCTGCCATGAGTCCTGAACTCAGGACGAAATAAGCAGTTTAGGACACACTGCAGTTTAGCCTCTCAAGGCTGCGTTGCTTGGCTCGGAGGTGTCACCACTCAGTCATTCTTGCATTCACCCAGCCCTTCCAGTTCCCCACTGGAAGCATCAAAGGACAGGCCTCGGAAGAATCCGCTATTTAGTTTGAAAGACCAAAGTCATACCAAGTGAAAACCCCCAGAACAGCAAATGGCAACAGATGGTTAAATGTCTTCCAGGTTTGAGGAGTTCTACATTCAAGAAAACAGAACACCATCCAAGTTTCGTGTAATGATCTGTGAGGGGAGTAGCAGCCTTGAGAGAGTCACCCTTGTGAAGGCAGAATACAGAAGGTGGTAGATAGCCAGGGAGCTGGGTGATGGTCTGGCTTTAGGGCTTGCGGGGTCAGAGGCACCGGGTTCTCCAGGGTTATGTTGAGAACAAGCTGAAAACAGAGCTGAGACCAGACCTTCGAATAAACATCTCTGTGGTCTCTGTGGAGTGACTGCTCTGCCCAGACCTACAAAGGGCAGTGAAGGTAGGCTGGAGAGAGGGAAACTCACTTTCTCCATAGAGAGCTCACACATTGTCTGGGTAAAGAGACTAACTCGGAGAGCAGTAACCGAACAAGCAGTAACCACCCAACTAAATGAAAGGTGCTGGTGATGTATGTCAGTCAGGGCATCCTGGAGAAGGTGTAGCTTATGTGGGTAGAGCTACCCAGGGAAAGCTTTCTGGTGGAGAGAGCTGGCCCTGCAGAAAGGGGTGGGTTAGCTTGGAAGAGAAAAGAG